TCGTGGAAAAATGAGCCATCGGAGCGGACACATTAACACCTCATTCGTGTTTCTTACTCTCGCATTCAAAATAATCTCAGCTGCAGTATTGTTTATTCCTAGAGCCAAGCCACCATTCAAGACTGCTTAACAGTTTCGAAAACCACAACTAAACAGCCCTTTAGTTTGCTTTGAGAGATTTTTATTATGTCGTCTGTATTTAAAACCAAAAAAAATTTCTGTACTATAAGACAAAAGAAAAGCCGATCAAATGACAACAAATCTACTACTCCAGGTAATGACAGCCTGGCTCGTCTCTTTATTCCATTCTACTAAATAACTGACACGTTTTCTAGTCAGTATTGTCTATCGTCAACACTCTAAATCCCTTTTAGTTGGACGATCTTAAATAATTCATAGAAAATGGTATGAAGCTACGACTAAACCAAAACTACCTCATAACTTCTTTATCAGTTTTCTAACAGAAATTTCGTGGAACTTGACGAGTGGCGGACATGAAGGGTATCTATTCTTCGAAAAGATTATTAATATTTCTTTTTTTTTTAATCTCTATAGTGATTTGTGTGTTTACTTGGTGTTGGCAATAGAGTAACATAATAACGTAGCCACAGCAGTAATAAATCGACTCATTTGTGGAATCCTGTCCTCAAATAAAATCAAGGGAGGAACAAGACCAGTACTAGGAAGCCCTTAAGGTAACATACTCTACTAGATTTAACACTTTTTTTATCAATGTCTCATTCTTTTCAAAGCCAAAACTTTTTTCCTTGAATCTTCTTAGAGCAAACATTCCTATTGTTATTGTTAATTTGTCTTCTTGCAAAGTAATTGTATGATTTCCTAATTAACCAATGAAAAAAAGGTGCTTACGCACCGCCTAACTGAAAAGGAATTTTAATTGTCTTGTTTTTTCTAAATTGAAATATATATATTTGCCCTCTAGGGAAATCGTTTATATTCAAATATTTAAGATTAGTTGAAATGTTGAAATGAGGAGAATCTTTTTAGGTAACTAGTTATAATGTAGACAGCCACCCAAGGGGACATAAACATGCAAGAGTAGTTATAAAAAGATATTACGGCTTTAGGAGAAAAAAAACCTACGAATAAATAAATGGGAAACTGAAAAAATGGAGATGATAAAAAAGATTGAAAAGACAATTATATGAGTGAGAAAAAGATTCGTTGAGTGTTTACTTGCTTCAAGAACCTTGATCGATCAATGGATCGCTGCTTTACATCAACAACTGCCATTACACATGATTTATAAACGTTGAGCAGTTTTGCGGAGTAAATTATCATATCAACTATTGCAACTGAACGTCAACGCTTCAATATTGTGGGCCCAAACCGGAACCTAAATACTGACTAACAATGGGGTTTTGAATTTGGGGTTAAAATAATCTAAAATGCTTTTAAAATTGGGAATTGAATTTTTATAGTTCTTTAAAGCCTGACATAAAAGCATTTTTAATGTGGTATGACGTCACAGGCAGGCAGGGAGGCAGACGGACAGACAGATTGAAGAGGGGTGATAGATTGGAAGATTTATCGTGTATCGCGTGTTTATACCAGGAACATATCACGTCTTTCGCTTCACGAGCAACACGGAAATTAACGAAAAACAGCACGCAAACCACTTGTGACCGGCGTTAATGAACACTGTTAACAACTAAAGGGGCATTTACATCATGTCAAGTATAATACCTGTTAAATATCCTGCATCTTTTACAGACAAACATTAYAAATATCACAAACTAAAAACCTTATGAAAAAACCTACTTCTGGTTCAAAAACAGTCCTTACTAATTTTACTGATGATGCGAGGCCAGTACAGTGTAACATTGCAACTAATGTGAATGACCATCAAGGTAACGATGGAGATCGTGTTTTTCCTGAACGGTTCAGTGGAAAGAAAAGAATGGGAAAATGAAAAATGGGAATGAACGTTGATGAAAGAGAAGATCCTCACTGAAAAAAAAAACGAAAACACACAAAAAATGAATCGTCACCTCGTGACTAAACTAATCGAACGCAAGTAATCAATAGAGGAAGAATTGGCAAACGACTCGAAAATGAAAGGCAAATTGAATGAATTATCAAATGAACGACTAAATGAACAAATAATGAATCGATAAAAGAACATTAAAACGATAAACGAGCTTTCTAAATAGCTTTGAGAAAAACAGACGTTCCAAGCTAATGGAACGAAACATTTCTTGAGCCATTTGACAAAATCTCCGTGTGAGGATCCAATTGGATGACACTAAAAGACTTGGTGGTATTCAGCTGGTATGAGTTCTATTCATGTTCTTGATACTAGTGATTCATGCTACAACACATTCATTAACGCTATATATATATATATATATCATCTTCAGTCTGTGGAAAGTAAATGGAGCACGGACAGATCAATAGAGAAACTTGACCAGAGCTGGTTAGGTTCGCAACGTTTATCTTGCTGTCGGCACTTGCTTCTAGTATGTTACTTACTCTAATGAACATCACTGTTAATGACGTTACTCTCGATTGCCATGSAAACGTCAGCTGGAGAAATATATCTAAGTAACGTGTGAATAATATGTTGTGAAAGGTACTCAAACACAGAAACCTTTCCCCGGCGGTGACTTTAGAGAAGCAGTGACAATCTATAACAAAAGCAAAGCTACACAGCAGATAATAATGAGCATCTTACATCAGTATTTACCCCTCAACGACACCAGCCTGTCTACATATTCAAGATGAAAATCTGAACCCTCTCTTTTATTTCTGAACTAACATTTATAGTTTTTTT